TAATAATAATAATAATAATAATAATAATAATAATAATAATAAGGACAAATTAATAATAGCAAATATCAATATTTATTCCCAAATAATCCATAATAAAACGGGGTATTACATAAGTATAGATGTTTCAGCTTGGATAATTAGTTAAACGTTCAAAATGTATCTTGTCATGTTTGTACGGTTGTGATACTCTTCTTACCGTGTCAATGCATGGCACTTCAATAAGGTCAATTATTCATTTTAGTTACACTAAGGGAATGATTGGATACAAATTAATCAAATAAAATAAATTAAAATAAAATCAACCCCAACTCAAAATTTAACTCAACTTCAATTCAACTTCATTATCCTCAATATTATCAATATAATTAAATTATATCAATCAAGCATACTTATATATCATATTAACTTTAATTCATATTCATCTACTCATATAATTTTGACTAATTATCACTTTTAATCAACGTCTCCTACTTTTATATCAAATGAATTTTAATTGTTTTGTTTAGATATTATTTTAATACAAACTCAAAATCCTAATAAAACTAACGAAACCAACTTTTTCAAAATTAACTCTAGTTAACCAAATAAATCAACCCCAAGGGCAATAAATTTGTATCCAATCACCCTTAAGTAGACCATGTTCAGAGAAACATGATACAAGTAGTTCTCTTTCTAGTTTAGTTCTATTGCCTTCCAATGCTCGTTTCAGTCAAGTGACACACACACTGTTAGATTTGTCTCGTCAAAACGGTCATTATCACAAAGTTTTCAAGCCCATTGGAATTGATTTGTCTAACTCAATTTTCCGTCCAAATTTGCCCTAAACCCAAGTTCGCGACTTTATTTCAATGTCGTCCGACGTCCATTTTTTGTCGAGTGACTCACAGTTGGATTTGTTGAATATGTCTTGGAGATTGTTTACGTACTCAATTTTCCAGCCAAAGTATCTGCAATCGAACTAATCTCCAGCCAGTGACTTTCGGCATGGGTCCAACACTTGATCGGTTTAAATAACTTGATAATGCCAGACTATTACTCATCCCTCGTGATCAGGGTATTTTTTAGGGTTTCGGAAAATCATCGTATCAAGCTTGATGCGTGTCAAATTGGTGTATCATTTCTAGGCATGGGTCGATTTAGTTTACCAAATATGCAATTTACTAGTTGAAATAATTCAATAAGCCATGTCCCAGTTGTAACCAAAATTAATTCATAAAACCAGTTGACCTGAATTATGAGTATATAAAACAAAGGCTTAAATGGACAGCTCCCAATTATTAGTAATTGCTCGACAAGATAATAGTGTTTATTATACAGAGTGATTTATGTGAAACTGCTGCACACATTCAAATATGAAGGGATCAATCCTCCATAAGCATTGGAACCAAAAACCTCTAAAAAAAACTAACGCTCTGATCCTCCCAAAAATATGCAGCTCACCTCACACTAGTGATCACACACAACAAACTGAAATTTAAAGAGCGAGGCATTCGATGGGTTGCCATATGCTAAGTTACTGTCAGAAAATCAAAGCCAACTTCCAGCAGTATAATTTTTCTCAAATTATAGGGCAATAATAATAAAAAAAAAAAAAAAGTCAAAACCATATAATCAAGAGGCATGAAAATATATATTTCATTGATGGCTAAGCTTAAAGCAAACAGATTTCAGAAAAGAAAATGAAAGAGGTTAGGGAGTACCGTGACTGGATGCATGATTTCATCCTTCATAGTCTGCAGATAGCCTCAATTCCAGGAGCATGTGGAAATCCGTAGCTAATGAGGAAAAGACTTCTTCTTTCGTACTTGATTTGTGAATTCGAATATATGCTGTTTCCAATCTTCCCAGCCTCAACCAGTCATGGAGCATGAGCAAAGTCTCTGATTAAGGCAGTGTAACTTTGTAATAGAACTTTTCCCACAAGCTTTGTGCTCAAACAACATTATATAGTCCAGCATACGGGTTCTTGTGAATAGTCTGAACAAGTGAATGACCTTTTTAAATTCGCAATGTTGTAAAAACTCTCCAATTATAATAGATATGTAATATTGATAAAATAACCTTCAATTCATATAAAATTTTTAAACATTTTCAAAACTCATCTGCTTTCCAGAAATGATTCCCAGCATTATTCTACGACAAAATAAGAAAGAACAAAACAATCATACCCGATTTCTCAATAGACAATACTTCAATTTTTAGGCAAGAAAATAGCAGCAGGAGAACACGTGCTGCTAGCAGTGGCTAACAAGGTAAGGACAAATCTCCAAGCAATCACAACCGAATCTTAAAAGAAATGTCCATTACAACATTACAATCTGTAGTGCACATGACAACTAAAACTAAAATTTATCATCAGGCACAAAACCCCTCCTCAGCATCTCATCATGAAACCTAAAAGCCACCTGCATATTTTCCTGTGAGACATAACCATTTATCAACGATGTATAAGTCGACCTACCGGGACTGAAGCCCCTCTCAATCATCTTCGCATATATCTTGCTAGCTTCTTGCATTCTACCGAGCTTACAAAACTGATCCAAAACAACATTATACGTAATTAGGTCGGGCTTCAGACCTTCTCTCTCCATTTGACTGATCAAGCAAAAAGCCACATCAGCATTCTCCTCTTTCATGAACCCGTGTATCATGGTGTTGTAAGTGATGCAGTCTGGAAAAATCCCTCTTCCCCTCATCTTATTCAGAAAATCAAGCGCTTTACCGGGATTCCCATGCCTACAGTAGCCCTTCACAAGGGAATTGCATATGATGATGTTGGGCTCCATACCCATGTCGACCATTTCGTTCCACAATTCAAACGCATCTGATAAATAGCCACCATTACAAAATCCATTAATCAACGTGCCGTATGTGATGTAATTAGGATTTATGTTTTCTGTAATCATGTTGTTTTTAAGCTCGACAGCTTTTTCCATATCACCCATCCTACAAAACCCATCGACCAGCGTATTATACGTAATCGCATCAGGTTTCAAGTTTCGCTGAAACATGCAACTGAATAAGTTCAATGCTCTATCCATATTTCCAGTCTTGCAGTACCCGTTTATTAGAGTCGTGTAAGTGCAAAAATCAGGGAAAACGCCCCTCTCCACCATCTCATTGAAAAGGGCGTCCGCCTCAACAAGCATTTTTTCTCGGCACAGACCATTTAATATAGTGTTATAAGTCACCACGTCCACCTGGCACCCAATTTTCATCATCTCATTGCGTACTTTCAGAGCATCTGACATGGCACCGTGCCTGCAAAACCCACCAATTAAAATTGTATAAACGATTTTGTCGGGCATCAGGCCTTTATTTTTCATGTCCTCGTAATAAGACATCATCCGCACGAGATCCCCTGTTCTTGAGAAAAACCCGATAACCGAGCTGTAGCTAACTAAATCCGGGACCAGACCACAACCAAATATTTCATTAAAAACACCCTCAACCTCCGACAAATTACTTTTCTTGCAACATTCGACCAGCAATGTGTTGTAAGTAGTAACATCCGCTTGCAACCCATTTTCCGTCATTTCGTGTATAACGCCCTTTGCCCTCTCATAGTGCCCATTTTTACACAAGCCATTGATCATCGAGTTATAAGTCAAATGAGATGGCTCCAAATTCTTGTCTCGCATCAAACTCACCATCTCTAAACCTTTCTCAATTTCCCCTTTACGAAAATAAGCATTGATCAACGTATTATAAGTCACGATATCAGCAAAGATCCCTCTTTTCTCCATCTCCTCTACAAAATCATTTGCTTTCTCTATCTTACCGTCCTTACACAACACATTTACCATGATATTGAGAGTGTAGGAATTCAAATCTGCTCTAACTCTCACAGTCTCATCAAACACCTCTAGTGCCAAATCAAACCACCCTATTTTACCAAGCCCGCCTAAGAGACTATTGCACGCATTAACAGAAACACTGACATTTCGAAATTGTAAAACCCTAAATGCCTCGACAGCCTCCCGAAACTTCCTAGCTTGCACGTAAGTCCTGATAAACAAATCAAAAACATATAAACTCGACCCACATTTCTCGTAAGTACTTAGCAAAGAATCGACAATTTCAACTCTAGAAGCCCCACTCCTCCTAATCATTCTCAGAATGAAAGCCTGCGCATCTGATAATCTTCTGTTCCTCACTAATAAATGTAGGGCGGCACTTAATGACAGGGACGAATGCTTAAAATTCGGATAATTCGACGAAATTAAATCAATAAACTTCTGACTAGTATGCAAATCATCACGACATTGGTAAAGAACCTGCGCGTACGTTGATGGGTTCAGCTGATTAAAAAATTGGAAGTTGGTGGACTGACCTCGTTTAAGAGCCCACAAAATCTTTTCCAGCAGAAATGTATCCGAAGAAAGGATCTGTTGAGAACTAGATGAGTATTTACAAGGGTCCTGAGTCGAAAAACTCCGAAATGGTCTGGTGATTTTCTTACTGGGGAAAAATCGCTGTCTTGCCGCCATTGACTAGTGAAGGGAGAGGGGATTGAAGTATTTTTTTTTTTTTTTTAAATAGGACAACATATCTCTCTCTCCCTTACATATAAGGGAACAATGGGGCCTTTTTTGGGTTGACATGTGTCCTTTCTTTGGACGGGAAAGCTTTTTTTTTTGTCTTTTTTTTTTTTTAAGCTCTGCCACTTGAAATTGCATTGGATGAAATTGCCATAATTATTTTTTATTTGGTCACTTAAGTTTGCTTACTGCAGACGAGTAAAGACTTACAATCTAGGACTTTTCATTTTTCCCGCACACGCATTATCACTGATTGGAGTGAATTGAAGAAAGTATCCATTCGTCTCTCTAATATCCAACTCGTACATCTATCTTTTCGGTGCCTCCACTCCAACAATTTTTCCCCGCCGCCACCGCCGAACAATATTTTGTCACCTTGAAGATCGATCCTCTCGTATGTTTCCTCTCACCCTCGCCGAAAAGCCCTACTACCTTTTATACTACTCTGAAACCCTAGAGGCTTGCGATCCTCCATGCTACAGGCTAAGATTCATCAGCGTTATTGAGAAGCTCCAGAGCAAGATGGTGAGTTCTCTTCATTTTTAGTTCGACATTGATTTTAGATCTAAAAATTATCTACATTAGAGACAATTAAAAATTCAATTGAAGTTACGACATCTCAAAGAAAAAGCCAATTCCCCCATTTAGATTATGCCATTTTCCCGGGTTAAGAAAAATATATTATGAGCTTATTATGGTGATATTTTTTTTCCTGAAAAAAATGCAATATTTGCAGGTTCCAATTGGTGGTTTCTATAGGCTAATTGACGTGCCTACGAGCAACAACATCAATTGTGGGATTAGAATGATTTTCATCTTAACTCAGTTTAATTCTTTCTCCCTCAATCTGCACCTTGCTCGGACTTATAATTTCGAAGATGGTTTTATGGAGGTGATAAGATTTCTATGACGATGAATTTCTTGTTTTTTGAATGCCTTTTAGACTCGAAATACTTTTTTTGTAATTAATTTTGAATCATGTGAATAATTAATTTGGATATTAGGTTCTAGATGCCACTCAGACATCAGGGGAAGCAGGAAAAATATGGTTTCAAGGGACAACCAATGATGTTCGGCAATTTATATGAGTTTTTTTTAGGCGAGTGGTTCAAAAATTTACTCTTTTGGATCATTTTTTTATCTGGAGTAATTTTTCAGTTGGAACTAACTTGGTTGATATGTACATATGTTTATATAGGATGCAAAAAATAAAAATTTCGAGCATATATTAATTTTTTCGGGCGACCATCTTTATCGAATGGACTACATGGACTTTGTCCAGGTACTTTAGTGGCTCAACTACAATATGCCAATTTTTTTCGAGTCATTACTTATGCTTGTTTGATTATTAATGTAAAATGTGATTTTGCAGAAACATCTTGATACAAATGCAGATATTATTGTTTCTTGTGTGCCCGTGGATGATAGGTATGTTAAATCATTATTTCAAATTTATTTCACTTAAAAGCAACGAAACATGCCTATAAATGAGTTTTTTTTTTTTTTTTCTGCAGGTCCAAATTACCTCACATATTTTGCATCATCACATTTTCTGTTTATGGCTCTGCCAGTTTAAATGAGCATGTTGACATACTGGAGCATATAAAGCTTATGAATAATACCTTCATGATGGAACACTTTCTTCAATTCTTTTGTTTACTTTTTAATAAATTTATCTTCATACTACAGTCGAGCCTCAGATTACGGGCTAATGAAAATTGACGAAACTAGCCGAATCATTCATTTTTCAGAGAAACCAAAGGGTTCTGCTATGAGTCTATGGTAATCAGCAGCTCTTATATATATTGCGACCTTTATAGATTTATTATGTTTGTAGTTTATTTGGATTGTGAAGATTTATTTTTGTCTCATGTTATTATAATCTTTTACACACATGCTTTCTGCACTCTTTTGGTTATGTTTGATGATGTCATGCAGCAAGTCGACACCTCTCTTGTGGGACTTTTTAATGAAGAAGCTGCACGATTTCCCTACATTGCATCAATGGGAGTGTACGTATTTAGGACAGATATTCTATTAAAACTTCTGAAGTCGACTTACCCGTCATGCAATGACTTCAGATCTGAGATTACTCCTTCAGTTGTGGAGGATCATAATGTTCAGGTGGGCATTTGAGTTTACTGACATTTCATTTTTATTTTTTTTTCAGATTTTAGCATCAAGATACAAACATGAAGGGGTGTTAATGTTATTGTAAACACTTTAGGGGAGAATGTGTTATTTCGGAAAGGAACTTGTGTCTTTGTTTAAGTAGACTTTAGAGGAAATGTAATGCCCCACTTTTATTTACCGAAAATCAGAATAAATTTTTCGAATTTATTTCAAAACAATACTTGAGGCGCTACTCTTTTTCAAAACAATAATCAATACTCATCAATTTCTCAATACTCGGCAATTATCAATACTCATCATCAATATGAAAATCTCAATAATCAATTGTAATCCAATAATAATCCAAGAGAAATACTCCTTATCAATAATTCAATACTCCAATACTAGAAAAACAATAATCAACAATAATGCAATAACATCCAAGTTCATTTTTTCAAGACGGAAGCATTAAACAATTTAAAGACCACCACTGCATCCCTTCTGCCGTGCCGCATAAACTAACCTGCATCCGTGAATAGCAGGTGGGGATGAGCACAATAGGAAAATCTAGGTGCTCACCGCTATGCAATAATTAATATCAATAAATATAAAACAATTTAAGTATGGCCGCAACATGTATACGAATCAATAATCGTCCCATCTCATATCAATAATCAATAATGGTCTCATGTGCACACCTATAACAATAAACTACTGCCGAGCTATATACCGAATGGCTTCCTCGGAGGCCTTACAACGAGTGCCTGGCCAGCAGGAGCAATTATCCACCCCGAATGCCAAAACTTTCGTCTTGGCCTTACATACGAGGATCACTAGCCAAGGCTCACGCCCTGACTGTCAACAATAATAAAGGAGACTACCCAAAGGTACGTTCTATAGCTACGGGGAAAACCGTTCGACGACCAATATAGCTCACATCGAAGGCTACATGGTTCACACTACAACAAAAGCAATTAATTAAAGCATAGCATATAACAAATAAACCCACCTGGTAAATCGGTTGAAAGCAGACAAACAGGTCGGTAGGTCGAGGGCTCGACTCCTCAAACACCTACATTAAGTCCTGATGCTATAATCAACATCCATATGACTTAAACAGAAAACACAATCATACTTAGTCGAATTTGATTCGACTAAGTTGTTCGTGAAGTCCTGTGGGCGTTGGAACACTTAGACTCGACACTATGACTCAACCAAATACACATGAGAGTTCACATAATCTCAATTAAAGATTGACCAAGTCAAACACACAAAGAAACAGAAGGCGAGTCGATTACAATTTTAATTGCAAAAACCATATATTAGTAAAAACTGGTTTTAATCACCAAAAACAAGTTGGTCAGGTTATCAAACGAGTTAAGCTCTGCAATGTTAACCAAAAACTCACCTCCCAGAACTTAGTATAATCACCAATTTTCAACCTCAAATTCAAAGTATGCTATTTTATAAAATTCGGACAAGATTTGGCAAAAACAAGCATAAATTCGACCACTGAACCTATTGAACGAATTGGCCTACAAAAATTTTATATAAGAAACCTCAGCATGCGAATTGCAGTGTGTAAAAATTTTATCTTTAAACACCTAACATGCGAATTAATAAAGTTTCTACAATATTCATCAGTTTTCGCATTTAAAATAAAACCGCAACATTTTGAGCTCCAAAAATTCTAATATTTTAACAGCATGCAACTACACATAAAACAAGAACCTCTGCTATAAATCAAAATTTTCCAGCAATTAACCAATTTATCATAATTAAAACACTTTTCAGCAGAAATCGTAAACAAATTATTTACCCTATCAATATCAATCCAAAAATTAAAAAAAAAAATATACATCAACTAAATCAGGTAGATTGACAACATAATAAAATTTCATGTATTTTGGAGCACTACACAATTTATTATGAGTTTAATAAGAATCTGACCAGAAATCACTATAATTTTTAAAAATAGCTACAGACATTCGACAAATCTGATATTTTTACACGAGCCATATAATGACCAGAGTCATTTGCAGTAAAAATTTCCTAGCAATCGGATCAGTATATAATTTATAAAAATTCAAACACCAAAATAGCGAGCATATACGATCGTAAATTCATAAACGACTTGATTGGACTCGAAACTGTCCGAGGTCTTATCTGACAGACCAAGGACTCACTATGTTCCAACATCACAACAACTTACCACGATTAGAACGTGACCTCGATCGAGTTCAGATGAACCGAAGAGGTCGATACACGATTAATTCATAGAGCATGATATATGAATCTATATCTTCTACCGAAGAGCATATCAACACACAAGCACAATCGACACATCATACAAACTCCAAAAATATAAGAAGGGTCGAAGCTCGATACCGTTCTCGGGACCGGGTACGAAAAACGAGCAACGTAAGGATCGAATGGGCTCGACGGCTACACTTCGGTCACCGACGGAACTAGACGGGACACGACGGCTGCGTTTGGCACTCCGTCCCGACGGCTGAGAATGGACGTTGGCAGAGGAGGGCTCGCCAGTGGAGCAGGGTGGTCGGAGTTATGCACGTTGAGAAAGAGTTGTTCACCGTGAAA